ATACGAGAAAACACAGGTACGGCTGCCAAGCACAGAGCAGGTTCTTTAAAAATGCTAATCAAGTCTGAGGGCAAATGTAGCATCAGTCAGGACAGTGAGGCATGATCCAAAGCCCTCCGGCTGGAGGGGCCATCAGCGCCCACGGATCAGTCCCCACCCCGGGCTGCACTCCTCCCCAGCTGCACGGCCTTCAGACTCCCTGACAGCCAGGGCACATTTTCCTGCTGCCTCGTTTATTCCTCCTGCTCCCCCTGACACCAATGCAAGCTGGAGCCCTGCTGGGGTGTCTTCGAGGTCACCGGGGGACAGGCCCAGATGGATGTCAGAGCGGGCTGCTGTAGTGAATTATTTAGCACCCCTTCTCCGAGGGAGCAGCTCCTGACTCATCAGGCAGGGGCACATTCCTCTTCCCTTAAATGGCACACGCGGAGCCTTGCTGGGGGCTGAGGCTGGCAGAGTCTTCACTGCTCAGCTCATCACAGCTGGGGCAGCTGTAGAAGGAAGGGCTGTTAGGAGCCTAGCCAAAAACAAGATGCACAGAAGGGGTTCAGCCGGCTGCAGTCAGGGGTGCCACGTTACTGGCAACCAGAAACACCAAGAATGAAAGGTTAGAGTCTGCTCGTGACCAGATGCATCCTGAGAAGATGGGGTGCTGCTTGGAGGGACCCCTTGGCAGAGCCAAGTCAGAGCCACCAGGGGCTACCTGCAGACAGTCCAAAGGCTTTGGGAAATCTCTTAAGGTGACTGCTCTCAGGAGTACCTCGCCATAAGGACGTAAGTAGAGAGATGTATAAGCCAGATTTATAGGTCATACTTACTACGTTCACAACATCTCATTTTACCCTCATGACAATCCTTCAAGGTTACATCAATCATTCTTTATCACAGGCAAACAAACTGAGGCTTGGAGGAATCAAAATAGCTACTAGCGTTCATCTAACTTCTGAATCTGCTTCCTCTTTTTTTTCCCCCTCCAATTCATTGCTGTTCTTTAAATTTCCATTTGGCCAGTGGAATCCATTCTTCCGACTCCATCCATCCCAGGTTTGGGCTGATCTGCATGTTAAGGCGCACTGGGTTTGGCCAGTTATGGGGACGACACTGACCCTCCAGGAGACTAACCAGGTCAAGGAGAGCAGCTGGAAGAACAAGGTGCCCCAGGACTAATGGCCACGTTCCTGACCTTGTTGAGAACGCAGACTCGGCCAGCGACAGCCCCTCTTCATGGGGATGCGGGAAATACAGGCACAGCTTGGCAATACTGCATGTTCACTTTGAGACTGCAGCAACAAAGTAAAGATCGCCATAAAGTCAGTCAATGAACTTTTTGGTTTCCCAGTGCCTATAAATGTTATGTTTACACTACACTGTAGTCTACTAAGTGTGCAAATAGCATTATGTCTGAAAAAAAAAAACACCAATGTATATATCCTTATTAAAAAATACTTACTGCCAAAAAACACTAACCACCGCCTGCGCATTCAGCGAAGGTGTAATCTCTTTGCAATGGTAATAATGTCAAAGATCACTGATCACAGCTCACCCTAACGAACATAATCATAATGCAAAAGTTTGAAATATTGTGAAAACTACCAAAAGGTGACGCAGAAACATGAAGTGAGCACATGTTGTTGGAAAAAAATGGCGCCCACAGACTCGCTCCAGGCAGGGTTGCCACAAATCTTCAATTTATAAAAAAAAACAAAAACAATAACACTGTACCCGCAAAGCCCAACAAAGCGAAGCGCAATAAAATGAGGTACTGAGCACTTTCCATGCTGTTAGAGCCATTTACAGGCTAATGAAGTGGGGCCTGGATGCTCTTCGAAGTGAGGAAACGTAGCAACTCTGCTGGACTCTAAGGATGCAGAGAATGCTTCCCGTCCCTGTGGGGGCCAGGCAGGGCCTCAGTGCGTCCGGCCCCGGGGTTCTACAGCATCCCTTCCTCTCCCTTGGCCAATCCAGTCACCTGCCTGATGGAGCGAGTGCGTGTGCTCCAGCCTCCCCCACAGCACGGCGTGTCTGAGCTCTTGGGTGTCCAGTGCGACCCTGGACCAGTGGCATCTGCTCCCCCAGGGAATCTGTTGACCAGGCAGAGTCCCAGGCCCCACCCAGACATACTGAATCTGGAGGAGGAGCCTGGTCACCGCGGTTTGCACAAGACCCCCAGGGGATTCTGCACACAGGCTTAAGTTTGAGACCCAGCGGCCTAAGTGGTCACCGGGAACTTCTGTTGAGAGCCAAAACAGAGGGAGAAGGGGTGAGCAAGGGCAGAGAGACAGGAGGGGCCTCTGAGGGGCCCACGATGGCAGGCTGGAGGCCTGGAGGTGGAATTAATTCCGCCCACCTAAGCATCTTATTGGGCCCACAGCAGAGGTCAGGAAACTTGATAAAGGGCCAAGCAGTAGATGTGGCAGGCTCTGATGGCCACGTGGTCTCCGTCTCTGTCACAGCTCTTCATCTCTGCTGCTCAAGCCTCATAGCTAACAACCGATAAGCAGATGGGCGTGGCTACATCCCCAAAAAACTTTAGCAAAATAGGAGCTGGGCCAGATTCAGCCTGCCGGTCCTGGTTTGCCAACTCTACATCCGCATCACAGTGTCTCTTAGGAAAAATAAAAACAAAACAAAAAAAAGCTCTCTCTCAGATCTGGCCACTCTGAACTCAAGTTCCCAAGAGCAGCGATCAGCTGGAGCTGAATGGGGCAGCCCTCTTCCCTGGGGACCCGGCCTCTGGTTTTCCACAGTCCCTGCGATTCTCTCCTAAACACCAGGGCAGAAAGTCAGTTCCCATTTGTCAGCCTGCTCCCTGTCTCCTGTATCTACTTACACAGAAATAAATGTGCATCTGTACATGTACATGTGTACGTACGTGTGTGTGTGTACTTTAACACCCACCAGCTTTCAGGACTTTATATTATATATCCCATCCCCACCCTGACCCAAATAAATAAATAATATGCACATGACGATAATGACCTTTTCTTAAAGCAGGAAAAGGGCATATTTAATGTCACCTTCTCAGCAGTCTACCTGGAACCCTGCATTTTCACTGAAGTGACATGAACCCAGTACAGCAGTTCTCCAATGACACATTTTTCTCAGGGGCCTTTCCACCAAGGGAATTCCTCCACCTGACCGCCCTCCCTCCTTCTTTAACTTGTACCCTTTTCCCCACCCTGCCTGTTCCAGAAAAGGCCTCTTGAAAGAAAACTACATACATCCTCAACTTATCTGAGCAGAATGTTTGCACAGACAATCACAGAGATTTTTTTTTGATTGCTTACACAAGTTAATTTTCCATTTACATTGTGGAGCAACAATTTATTCTACAATAAAACTAACCAACCCTGAGAGTCCACTTCAATTGATGCCTTGGCCAGGGGCCAAGATTCCTGGATTTTTTTTTTTTTTTTGCTTCCACAGACCTGCCTCCTGCATTCGCTCGGGGCCACCCTCACTTTATAGCTGCTTCTCCTTGGGTGCGTTTCACCTACTCCATCTCCTGTATGTTTATGACCCTGAACACCAGTCCACGAATGAGTCTGTGGGTCCTGCCAGCATTAACAGTGGAGCCAAGAGCACACCTGGCCCTCTGTAAGAGCACAGGCTGACTGAGATGTTTATAAAAGGAAGGGACAATGATGAGAGATGGTCAGAAGGATTAATCGGGCACCTTACTGTGTCCCAGTCATCCCAAGACAGGGAATGACCATCCCCATTTGAGGGATGAGAAACATGAGGTCATGCCAACGATGACCCTAAAGAAAGAGAGAAAGTGACAGAACAGGGGTTGGAACTTAGGTCTGTCTTGTACCAACACCAGTGACTCTTAAATACAGAGATGTACTGATATCTACTCGTGTACACAACTCTAGAAACAGGGTACTATCCCTCGAGGACAGGCACTTTTGATTTATCTTCTGTGGTTGGCGGTAAAGAAGAATTTCTAGGCTGGGCTTAAAGAGGATTTCTTGACTTTGGCAACATGGACAATTTGTGCCAAATAATTCCTGGCTGTGAGGGTCTATGCCCCGTACTGTATGGTGCTTTTTAGCTTCCCTGACTTCTATCCACCAGATGCTGGTAGCCCTCCTCTTCCCTGCTGCGGTAAGTAAAAATGTCTTCAGATATTGCTGTATGTCCCCTGGTGCCCCTGCCGGGGACCAGTGGTCCAGAAATCCTACAAATCCTACCTTGCAACAAGTGATGACTGCCTCTTTGGCAGCTATGGAAGGCGGAGGTTAAGAACACAAATTCTGGTATCAAATATGCCCGAGTCAGAATCTCAGCTCCGCCACCTACTAGGTTTGTGGACGAAGAATTATTCCACCTCTGTGAGCCCCTCTGTGTAAGATGGGGACAGATAAGATTCTTCTGTGGACTCAAGGAGAAAATGCAGGTGAAGCCCTTAGCACAGTGCCTGAGAGTAAGAGCACAATGATGTCCGCTGTTATTTTTATGATTAAGAAAAACAGATGTGGGTAGGTGTCAAATTTTATCAGCTCATCTAACAGATGTGTAAACTGAGGCTCTGAAATAGGAGGGATTAATTATGATTAGGACCTAGTCCACTTCAAGAAATACACATTTTTGGTCTTTGGACCTGTTGGGCTGTACCCCACAGTTCTCCAAGTCTGAAAAAAGAGCCCAGAGTCAAGGACAGAGACATCAATAGTTTAATGGATAGGGTGAGCTTATACGTCTGAAACAAGGTCCTGGAACAACAGCCCATGATGGCAGACAGCAGACAGGACGTGGCAGTGGTCTTCGCCACAGGGGAGCGTGGCAGAAGAGGGCAGAGGGAGGTTACCATTTGGCTCATCAGTTACCAAGGAAACCAGCTGAGAGGCAGGTCACTCAGAGCCCCTCCGGATAACAACTTCCATGGGGCAGATGTCTTCCCTTTGATAAACTATCATAGTGGGGTTTAATCTTTTTTGGGGGGTAGGGGGATATAATTAGGCTTTTATTTATTTACCTATTTTTTAATTTTTTAATGTAGGTACTGGGAATTGAACCCAGGATCTCGTGCATGCCAAGCACACGCTCTACCATTGAGCTACACCCTCCCCCTGATCTTTCTGATCTAAAGATTAATCGCTAGCTGGCACTGGGGCAAGCATGTATTAGGCTCGCTGATTAAGAGGTAAGCTCAGTCAGGTGAGTAGGATGTAGGCGACGCAGCGACTGGTCCAGCAGGGGATGTGCGGAGAGCAAGAGAACAGCCATCTTGGATGGCCTGACCATACAACACCCAATGCCTGTAATCACCTCCGCCCCATAAAATTCTATCTTTGAGCCTCCTAGTATGTTATTTCTATACTACGCCTGCTCTTTCATCTTATAATTGTTAGTATTCCAATTTGTGGCAGCCAAATGATGCAATGGGACAAGTGAAGTCTTTAAGTCTACCTACCATACAAGTGATGAAGCAGTCCATCAAAGACAAAAGAAAAATAGTTAGGAGAAAAAGAAGTGCCACCTTGCGTGAAACCACAGCAGTGGCTCAAAGAGACCCTTCCAACATTTGGGAATATTTCGGTGAAATCAACCCTAGTCATGGAGTACTTCATGTTGTTTGATTTTGCTCAGTGAAGATGTTTGTTCTACCACTCGATAACCACAGCTAGAAACCACGGGATCTCAGCTCAAGTGGAAAAACACCATCTTGATATGCTCCAATTTGTATACTTATTTGTTCTTTTTCCTCGTAAGGGAAGTTATGAGATGAGTCAGCAGGAAGAGGGAGTCATGTAGTAAGTGAGGCAGTAATTAGTCTCTCACGTGAAAATGTTGGGAAGAATTACCTAGTCATATTTAGAAGGGAGCTCTCTCTGGCTGAGGTGAACATTTCATTACCCTGGATTTAGTGGACACATGCTGGACATTTTGATGTTGGCCACTGGGTGACAACAATGAAAGAAAAAAGTGATAAGCCTAGAGGATAAAAAATTAATGAATGGCTGGTGGGCTGGGGTTTGTGTGTGTGTGTGTGTGTGAGACAGAGAGAGAGACAGATAGAGAGAGAAAGAGAGAGAGACAGAGAGAATGGGTATATCCATACATGCCTTCAACAAACCACTATTTAGCATGATCTGAGCCTCATTTGCTCACCAGGATTACAGGAAGAATAAAGCAGTCCTTGACTCAAAAAAATCACAACTTGATACACAGATATAGGAAACAGAAAGACTGCATTGCATACATAATACACATATATGACTACACTGAGGTTGCCCATAGACAAACGGTTCTCAACCAAAGGGTCGTGGCATATAACAGTATACCCTGAATTCTTCCAAACTGGGTTGTCTGATTTTGATCAATGACTCTAAATTATTTTTGTAATCAAGTAAGTATACTACAACATCGACATCGAGCCTAAAGAATGTGGAATTAAGTCATTTAGCCATTTAGCATCAATGGGGTGAATTATTAATCATCAGGGGTAAGAAGCATAGGGAAATTTCAAGCCAATTTTCCTGAAAGAAAAATTGTGTGTTCACTGGACAGATGACATTAGAAACTTTTTTTCCAGTTTTCCAAAGCTCGCTTAAAAAAAAAAAAAGTTCAATTTTAATCCCCTAAAATGTCCTGCCAAAAATTCTAGTATTTTCAAGTGTTTCATAACAAAAAGGATTAAATGAGTAGACGAGGAAGAACAGGAAAGCCGCCTCTCGGGGTATACCCGGTTTCTCAAACTGGGGAAAACTGGGAAATAATGGATTAGAAATCTTTGCAGTCAAAGCTGTCTAAGTGCTAGTGGCCCTCACCTCCATCTTTCCACTTTTAAATCGTGCACTCAAAATACCCCGAGCTCATGTTGCACATGTGGATGTAAATACATGATTCTATTTGGAATCAGAGTCCACACTCATAACAACAGAAGATCTTAAAGAAAGGTGAGGACCTTGAAGGGGGGGATATGTGTTCAGGTAGAGTGTAGGAGGATGCACTGAGCACTTCTGGCATTTTCAACTAGGTACCTCTAACTGTTTCTCCAACGAGGCCAAGCATTTAAATCGAGAAAGCCATGGGGGAAGATTTCTCTTTTGGTTTCAACGATGATTTCTGAAAAGTTGCAAATTCACTGTAACTGACAGCTGAGCATTCTCCAGCTGAAGATTCTATCGTCTGAAACCCAGACGTGGCCTCAGAGCTCTCAGGGACAGCTGAGCATTCTCCAGCTGAAGATTCTATCGTCTGAAACCCAGACGTGGCCTCAGAGCTCTCAGGTACAGAAGAAAACAAAGTGAAAGGTCCAGGTATCTGAATAACCGTGTGTTCTCAACTTGCCCATAACTCCGGGATTTGTGCAAAGTGATAATTCCCTTTTAAGTGATAGTTCACTTGGACTTTTCCTATTGATTTTGGGTTCTCCTGAATATCTCTCAAGAACAAAATCCCTCCTGTGATCTGGGGATCCCACTTTGAGGACCCCTGAATTGGACACTTAAACACGAGAGGTAAAGGCATTCCTAGAGAGTTCAGTCCAGTTCACAGCCAGGGCTCTCATTCTCCCATGCTACGCCCAGCCTTCATTTCAATCAAGTTCCCGGTAGGAAGAGCCTTCATAAAGTTCTCAGGTTTCCCTGCCCCTTAATACACGGAGGCATCCCAGAGAAGGAGGGGGCAACATCTATCCACGTGGTTCATCCCAGGGCTCATCGATACATATTCACAGGAAGGTCTTCATGGCTCATTTAAAAAAAAGACCCAAAAAACAAAAATTCATATATTTGAGATCATATATTTGAACATCTCATTTTGTATATGAAAACCCTGACCCTAAAACAGGCCATGTGACTTGTCTAAAGCCACAGTGCTAGCCAGCAGTCACTGGCAGGGCGGCATTGAGAATGTGGGAATCCCGATTGGTCAGTTTCCAGTACAGAATCCTTCTCTGGCAGGCCAGGCTCTCTGATCACATGATATATTGTAATAATTTAGATCATATTTTTTTTTCTCATTTGAACAGAAAGCTCCTCAAAGATATAAAATTAAAATACAGTTTAATAATCGCAGCTATTACTATGCATGCATATTAATGTGCCTAAGATATAAGTGAGTTTTTTCTTTCTTTTTGAAACAGCATCATACTATTTATACCACCTTGCCATTTATTTATAGGCTACAGATTACCTGTAAGCATCCTGATTTAAAAAGAGTAACTAATGCTCTAAAATGACTATTATCCTCAGGGAATAAAGACATCCTATTCTACAATCTTTTTGTCTTGCATCATATATAACCTGCTGTATCTTACTGATTCAGGCTTTAATTGTAGGTGGATCATTTTGGTTCCACTGTTTAGCTGTGCAAAACTTTGCAGCAATTAGAAGCAAGGCACGAAGTTCTTTCCCTTTACTTACTAAGACATCATTTCAAAAGAAAGAGTGTACAGACTGAATTACTGTAGGTCCTAATTGAAAGTAACCGAGGCCATGACCATGACACAGGAGAAAAGGAACTATCTTCCCCATCAAGTTTCTTTAGCGACGTGTTGAGCTAGAAAGACTTCATATGAGATAGGACTTCTGGTGTGGGGTACCACTGAGCTGACAACTCAAATCGATTCTTAATGAAGAAAATTAATTTAATTAGCACTTAGAGCATGGAATTTCATTTTCTAACGGGCCTCAAACACAAGTAGCCGAGGAAAACCATCTGGAGATCAAAGTGACTTTGGGTCTGGAATGGTTTTTCACTGGCCAGTCACCGATGGAGAAAGCAGCTATTCATTCCTTTGTTGGGTCAGGAAAACTGACAGTCTGCACATCCCAATCTGTAAAACTTGAACACCCAACCATCATCTATCAACCTTACGTAACTGAAACTTTACTCACTGAAATTTCTTTTGCAACAGAAAGCAGAACACATAATACTTTTTTTTTAAAGGCAGCCCACCATCTTACCAGATGAAAATTAAAATTCACATTAGAAAGAATTCACTTAACATCAGTTAATCTTCATGAATCACTCCCACTAACATCTTGCTAATGATCTGTCTTGGCAGAACACGGTTTCATCTAACTCCTCTCCCATCTTCCTTCTTCATTTCAAGGAAAGCATTTAATAATGGGCAAATGGCAAATCATAGGGCAAAAGAGAAAAAAAAAAACCTTGCCAGTCAACTCCAAAGGGAAATTGCCTTTCTTCTCCAATAAGTTTCCAATCAAAAAGGACCAGTAAGATGTTAATTAACGTGCAGCCATCGTGGGGATATGGGGACGCCCACACATTCAGTAAACTGCAGGCTAATAATTAAAGTCCGCCGCCACATAAAGAGCAAAAGGTCAACCTCTCTCACTGTCAGGCAGGTGGTGACTTGAACCACAGATCAATCACAATTCACATCAAAGGAGTGAGAGGTGAAGCCAAGGAGACAAATCCAGCTGGAAAACCTTGTTCCTTCACTTGGGTAATGTATCACCTCTTAAAACAAAACAAAACAAAACAAAACATTACCCCCTCCCACTATTCCACGTTGCAAAATGTGGCAAACCTTTTATCCTGATGGACTCTCTTAGGAAAGAGAATCAAAGTAGTAACAGGAGACTCCATAGATACCATGATAACACACTACCCTGGCTAGAGCAACTGAACTTAAGTGATGCTGAGAAATAAATGAGTGGAGAATTTAACTCTTCAGGGAAATTCTTTTTTGATTTCTTACTCAAAGCAGTCATCTTAGGCTATGATTAAAAGTAAATTCCTCTGATTTACAAATACATTAAATTTCTCCTCAATATGATTTACTACCTTTAAAACGCTGACAGTCTTTTCCCTTTCTATAAAGTAATACGAAAACATTAATAATGCAGGAAAAAAAAATCTAAACAGCAGCTGCATTATTTGGAGTCCTGGTCCTGTCAAATGGAGGCTCAGTGAAAAAGATGATAACTTGCCAACAAACCACACAACTAACCTTTCCTTACTGCACAGCTCAACCCCCAACTGGAGGCAAGTTACACAGTAAACGCCTTGAAGACCACACGGCCCTTTTCCTTGAACTCTACAGCTTATCCATCCTGTTCCACTCCCAGAACAGTCTGTTGTCCAGGTCTGA